TGTGGTGATCTGCCTATGTTTGGCTTGTGTGTGTTCATGAGAATGTCTTTTTCTTGTTGGAATTCTAAAGTATGACTGCAAGAACTGTATTTAGGCGATCAATCAGAAGATAGGAAACCCCCATTAATAGCAAGTCATTTATAATAAGTGGCATAGTTGTTGCTTAGCCACAGCTTGCCACAAAGACGGATGATTATCCAGTGAGAGTGTTTTCAATCATTCTTCCACCAGATTATATATTAAGAAATGTTCAGTAATTCGGAATCTGAGATGAGAGGGAAGGAATGTCGAGTGCTTCCCACTGTTGGGGCTATCGTCTCGGACAAACTGAGGACAAGAGACAAAGCAGTGCGAGCTGACTGACAACATCACTTGGAAGCATAAAAAGACACTCATGCCATAAGAAGACAAGACTCACTAAACCTCGAGGGTTTGGAGGGTAAAGTAAAGCCAACCAGTTATTGTCCATGTGGATACTACATGCAACTCGAGTCCTTAGCTATGCCAGGGCTTTGCCGGGTTGAAACCTCTCTGTTTAGCTCTTATTCTGCATAGCTAGAAGGATTCCAGGTCATTCCTACGTCAAATATAGTCCTTTTGTACATTTTTCCAGTCTCCCAGTGTCTGATCCTGGCTTTTTCTCCACCAACATTCACAATCTCCCTTTAAGACTCCAGATCCAGTCCCTACATCCAACACTTTAGATCTCTTTAGATCTGTAGACTAAAACGTCTCTCCATGTCCGTCCTTTCCGGCTGCTTCAGCATTTCTTCACCACACAGTGTTTGAAGGCGGAGGGTCGGGCGCTCAGAACGCAGCCCTTGGACAGCTTGCCATCCTGGTCCTTGCACTGTACCGTCCGGCTCTGCCAGCCGGTATCACAAGTCCTGGAGCAAGTCATCCAAGGTCCCGTTACCCACTTGGGACCTGGAAGAGGGGTTGAAGAAACAGAAGCTGTAGTTGGCCTTAGCAGTAAAGCAGCGGGCGTAGAGGAGATGGTAGTGGTGCTAACCGTGGTGGACCGCGTTGTGGTAGATGTTGTGGTGGTGCTCTGCAAAGGGGTCAACTTGGAGTTTGGATGCTGCTGCGGGGCTGTCCACCTCGGCATGTAGTAGCTATAACGGACGTCGAGGGGCTTTTTCGAATCTGTGGCTAGAATCTGGACCACCAAAGCTTCTTTGAGAGCCCCGGGGCCCATGCTGTGGAGCCACTCGTCGTGATGAGTCCACCCGCTGTAGTTGAGCAAAGAACCGTTGAGCGGGATGATGGTCTCCGAGGTGGAGATCATGAACTTGCCGTTCAGGAGGTACTCGCTGCCGGGTCGCCGCAGGGCGAGGTAGGCGGTGAAGCGGGTTTGGTCCTTGGCCATGTGCTGACGGACCTTGATGTGCGTGGATCCAGCGGGGATCTTCACGATGTCAGTGTAGCCTTTGCTGTTTGTCAGGAGAAAAGTCAGAGGAGATAACATGACTGACTGTAACCGAAGAGACCGAGAAAGTCAATAACGAACCCAAGTCGACAGGATGGTCTCTCCAAGTCTCACCTCTTCTTGGTGAAATTCCCAACGACCCGTATGCATCCCATGCTGTCGCCTCCACATATACCGCATTTGTCGAACTGGAGCTTGGAGCCGATGATGCCGTCGCAGCCCGTGCGAATGCATTTCCCTTTCACGCACACCGAACTGCTGTGAGGACGACACTCGGTCCCATCTGCCACCTGAATGCAGAAAGCCACGACATTAATGTCCCTTTCGTTATGAAATAGCTGGGCATAGAGCTGCAACTAAACGATTAATTGATTATTCTATTGATTATTTGGACCATTAATTGATTAATCGAATGAAAAAAACTTGCCACTTCTGCATTTTTTTCATGTAACCTTATTTATGTAGTATTAAAAGTACAATATGTAAATAAACAAATGTTTCTGTTCCTTTTTTGAATGACAAAATAAACATTTCATCACCTAGAATTCAACACCATTCCTTAAGTGAACGGTTGATCATTTGTTGCAAAGACACTTCTGTAGCTAAAAAAAAATAAAAAATACTTCTTACATTAACATAAAGCTGAAAAGACTTAATTAAGTGATGGTTATTTCAATTAATCACGATTAATCAATGTATTTTATCAGCGCTAGCTGTTTAGCTTACTTACCCGCTGAGAGAACACCACATAGTAGCCCGTCCCTTTTGCTCTGCATGTCAGTTTACACACATCCTTAGGGAGAACCCCGGCGTACTTCGGCACCCACTCGACAAAGGTCTTCACCCCTTTGGGGTCCGTCTGGGGGCCGTTGCGAACTTCACACTGTTCTTGACGGAAACTCTTACCTGCAGAAACAAAACGCTCATGTTAACCACCTGACCTCTTCCAGTTTCTCAAGTCTTTCCCGCGCTGATTTGCTCACTTGAGGGCGGGCACGGCGGGAAGACGTTGCAAGTCCGATAGATGGCTCTCTTTCCGATGCAGTAGCGGCCGTTGTTTCGCGGCGCCGGGTTGTTGCACAGGCGCTGGGCAAACTGCACTCCGCCCCCGCAGGTCCTGGAGCATGCACCCCAGGGGCCCCAAGAACTCCAGCTGCCGTGGTTGGACGTCTGGGAAGCCAAACAAGGGGAAGACGGGAAAAAATGAAGTAAAAGAAGGAGAACAGTTAATGCTTCTAAGAGATGTTGGATGCTGTCACCCAAAGGGAAAGCTGGCGAGAGATCTGTGATAAGTAGAAATATATCCTTCACTGGAATATAACAAAGAGACGGCCATCATATGATGATAACAAAAGTCTGGTGACTGACACATGGTCTGCTAGAGGATTGCCAGAATCAAATTCTCCACATATTTCCACTTGTTTATGAGTCATAAGTGAGGAGCGGATGAGTAATATTTAGTACTTCATCAGCTCTTTTCTAAATAGGGTTTTCCATATTTTTTTTACATCGCCTTGCAAAAAAAAGTCTATCCCTTTAACTTTTTGACATTTTGTCTCCTTATAATAAAAAAATTATGTATTTTTAATGGAATTTCATCTTAAAAACCAGCAAAAAAAAAAAAAAAAAAGAGACAAATATAATTACAAAGTTGAAGGAACACGATAGGTTTTAACAAAAAATCAGAAAATTGTGACGTACGTTTGTATCCAGTCATCCTTAGTAAACACTTTGAATAAATTTTGCTGCAGTTAAGACACTTATTTCCATGACAAAGGCGCACACAGAATGAAATATAGCTGGATTAAAGAATCTGAACGTTGGGAGTGGGGTTTATGCTGGTAGGAGGCGACCGAGAAGAAGCCAGTCACCACTTGGGCTGCATCCACGCATGCAGCCGTCTGCCAAGGATCAAATTACGCTCGTCATACATCATGTGACAGAAAAAACATAAAAGAAATATTCCTTTCATCCCTTTCCTAAACATCTTAATCCCTTCTGACTTCCACAATCTTTTTTCTTTCCCTCCTGACAGCCTGCCAGGAACAGATTTGGTGTCCCTACAGTTAAATTTTATTTTGATGTTTATGAACAAGGCCAGAGTTGAAGTCGCATAAATAAGGCGGACCACACAGTGAAGCCAGACAAAGAATCTCTTTCCCCTAGCAGAGCCTCTCAGTACTGTGTGTTTATCTGTGTTTATTGCTATTCCAGCAGCACTTTGACTCCTTCTGACAAATGCGGAAAGGTGAGCTATTAAAGGAAACCTATTTTCGACTGTGTTTCTTTTTCGCTTCCCCCTCACCGAATAGTGCTTCTTTCGGGTTTTGTCCACACACTTTCCCTGCAGGCAGATGCGCCCTTTCCCGCACGGCGTCCCCTCCACCGCTGGAAGCTTCTTGGTCAGACACACCATCTGTCCCTGGCGGATCACGGCGCACCACAGGCGAGAGCACACGTCCATGCCCGGGCAGACCGTGTACTCGAGGCCGAAGGCCAGGCGGCACTGTCGGACGGCGTCATAGCTTTGGCCTGGGAGCTCCTCTGGGCCGAGGAGGGGCTGACGAGGGGAGTCCAAGAGACACTCGGCTGTTGAAGCGTAGCAAAAAAATAAAAAAAATAAAAATAAATTAGGAATAAATGCAAGATGCAAGATTCTGGACGGTTAGTGATATATTTCAGTCTACTCGGGCACTGTGTAGAAAAGCTTTAAAACCCTGCATAAAATATGCAGCAAACCGAAGCTTTAAACTCTTCAAAAACACAAAATCTTAAGTATTTTTGGTCAAGTTTTCTGTGCAAATATCTTAGCACACTTTAATAAGTCAAAAGTAACTTACAAGAAGTTTTACAGGAAGATATAGGAGCTTGTTTTAAGTAAATAAAAAAAGCAGTTGCAGTATTTCAATCATAACTGGAAAATTTTATTCAACTTTTCCAACAACATTAATGAATTATCGACTTAAACCAACCTCTTAGATCTAGCTGAAAATGACTTTTTTTCAAGTGTGCTGAGATATTTGCACTAGAAACTAGACTAAAAAACTTGGTGTGATTTTGTGTTTTTTTTTGCTCTGCATTATGGTAATTTACAGATCTCTGCCTGCATAATCCTAATAAACTTGGCCTGTGATACTTTAGACTCAATAAAAGCCCCTGCAGCTGCCGCAGCAGATACTGCCAAGCCTGAAATTATAGTGTCGGTGCTTGAATTATGCCAAAAGCCCTGGAACTGCAGTGCAAAGTGTCAGCGGTGATACTTTACGGCTGTCATGAATGAAGCTGGTGGATGAAACTGGAACGTGAAGCATGAATCACTTTTCATCTCTGGCTGCACCGCAGCTACACTCGCTAAGAAGGTTTATAGAAATCTAAATAATGTCTGCTGATTGACGTTGCAGCTCTCAGAGGTTATGATCGGAACTGACATGATCGCAGATTGTGGTGTGTTGTTCTCCTCCTGCGTTTTCCTCCCGACTCACCGTTCCCGTCGTCGAAGAAGTCGGTGATGGTGGACGAGGTGCAGCGGCTCCAGGGCTTGGAGGCGTCGATGGAGGTGAGAATGGACGACATGAGCTGCTTGTGGCTGTTGACCCCAAAGCGCTCCTCGCAGAACTTCGAATCATCGTGGGACAATCCCAGCAGGTGACCTGAATCCCCAGATAGAGACGATACGGAGTGAGCTACACGACGTACAACTTCAAATAAAAATCTTACTGCAGATGACAGGATGCTGGAAGTTGGCCAAAAATATCTATGATCCGACTAATTAAAAATAAAACTCCTAAAAGTGTTCGTGGTAATAACAACAACCCCCACATTCCGATACGGGTTGGCAGCATCGCGGTGAGATGTTTTCCCTTCCACATCAAACCGTGCGCCACTTAATTCCAGCAATGTGAGGAATGTCAGGTCGTGTCTTGAATACGCCAGTGCACCGCGCAGAAAGAATCCGAAAAGAAAACACCAGCGAGCGCGAGCGCTGTGGAGTGCATGACGTGATTTCGAGCCACCAGAAGGGAAGCGCTGACAGAGGCATTCACGTGCCCCGGCGTGATCCCGCTCGTCCTTCGTGTTTTTGTGCTTACCTATCTCGTGAGCGACGGTGAATGCGGCGTGAAGGCCGTCGTCCTCGATGACGGCGCAGCTTCTCTCCGGAGAGCAGATTGTGCCGACGTCCGCCATGCCCAGGGTGTCGCAAGAGTGGTGGCCACACAGGTCCTGGACAAAGGAAGCGATGCACATCTAAATCACTGCTTAAGTGGGAAATAGCAGCATAACACCTGAAATTGCTATTTGTGAAACGATGAAATCACAATTAGACTTTTCAGAAGCTTTTGGATGAGACAAAAGCGTTGGTATACTAACAACAGGAAGTGAGCGGATGGATAATAACACAAAAAACCCGGACATTATTTAATGAGAATATGTTAAATGAGTGTGTGCCAGTTAGCAGTGACATAAGTAAAGGATGGAGTGGGCATTCTACTGCTGTTGCAATAACGGATAGAATGAGTGAAAGGCAAGAGCTCACAACAGGAAACTCCAGGCGTTGTTTGTGAGCATGAAGTTGATCAGGTCAGAAAATGCTTCTGTACCAGGGATTTTTGCCATTTATGACAACTGTCAGTACAAAATATCCACTCACTGTGTTAAAACAACAATTCCTTCTTATGTGTAGAAAAGTGAGACCTGCAGAAATGACTCAGTTCGATCAGTCATCTTGATATCTGAATGTCACAAGGTCAAGTCGACTACTGAGTACTGGTTTATGAATGTCTATTTACCTGCTGATTTACACAGTTGTTGTGAGGTATTGTGCTGACGCACATCAGAGTGTGTGCCGATCTGAATGCTGGTTTGAACTTAAGTTTCGACTCAAGTAAACATCAAACACTGTGGTAAATCAAAAGGCAGATTCTGCTTACATCACACTGCTTTTAAATCTCAGCACAGGGTGCCAGTTTGTTAGGTCTCTAATGTCTCCTGACTTCTCTCCCATTTACTGACTAAATTACCGTAGAAATATTCACTTTATGCGACTTTTCCATCACTACTCTTGTGCTTTGCGGCCACTTTGTAAAAACACTGATCCCTTATAAAATGCAACATCACTTTTAGGAAAGTTTAAACTTCTGTTCTTGGCTTCTTCTTTGCAGAAATCTTGCGATTTTGGCAAAGAAAACAAATGTAGCTATTGTAAACTACAAGCCTGTTTCATGAGTTCCCATAAATCCCGTCCCTTTAAAGTGTGCTTCCCCTACCGAGGAGTCAACTTTCTGTCACCCCCTCAATAACCAGCTTCACTAAGTGCCGATGTTGTAGAGGGGACTTCAACGCCAGTTTCCCTCCATGTGCCTCGAAGAGAGAATTCGATTCCTGCTTTGATTCCCACACATGTCCACGCAGACGAGGCCTCGGATTGGATGGCCTGGCCTCGCTGAGAGCAGAGATCAATTTACTAATCGAGTGCCTGCACACGCTCACGCACACACATAACAAGTTCGAAGTGTACATTTAGACTAAGGACGTGCCTGGATGCATGAAAACAAAAGTCTGTATGAGTGAACATTACAACATAAACGCACACACACGTCCCGGGGAGAAGATGAATCGTCATGTAAAGCGGTGCTGACAGGCCTGCTGGGTCGTGTGTGAGAGGCTCTGTGGGGAGGGTGTTTACCCGTTCCGGTCCGATCCGTTTGGAACAAACTCCCTTGTGTTTTGCACTCTCACACATGACTGACTGGGTGGGACACAGAAACACACACACTCAAACACACCATTTGTGATAACTACATTTAAGTGGATGGGCGCATTCTAACAAATAACACAGAAAATGCAAAATTGCTGCAAAATTTTGCAGAAAATGCAAAATTTTCTGCATTTTGCAGAAAATGCAAAATTGCAATTTAATGAGCAAAATTGCTCATTAAAGTGAACAGGAAGCTTCTGCCAGCTGACTGCTGGATACATGAGGAGCAAACAAAGGCTGATTCTGACTGCATGGACGGCTGCCGAGAGCCGAACGGAGCAGAAGTTCCTCCGGACTTGTCTGTGCGCAGACAGGCATGAAGAGCTGCTGCACTTTGATCAGAAAGTGGGTGGACGTCGAGAAAAGTTTCACCACCTCTGTTTTCCCGTTTGCCAAACGTCTTCCTCTCGATTTCTTTTTATTCACTCGTCCGTCCCCTCTCTAGATTGGTTTCAGGCACACCTGGATCTACGCTGGTGAAACGATGTAAAAGGAAACGTGCGGGCAAAAAAAAAAAATTGGGGATCTCCTGCTAAATAGTGACATGTGAATAATACCTGCATTAACCTCAAACCACATGTCAGCTTGTCTAATTCCCTGCTCTGCCAAGACTTGGCAGAGACTTGCTTTTTTATCCTGAGGGCTCTGAAGGAAGAACAAAAAAAAAAAAGAAAAGAGGGAGGGTGCAAGAGAAACAAAAATAAGTTCAGGTATCAGACACCGGGGGTAGAGGGAGAAAAGACGGAGTGGTGCCGGAAATTAAAGCAAAGAACAGAGAGAACAAGGGGTTACAGTAATATTGGCAGAAACAACATGGGAACAGGTGGGACACTGGCTCACAAAGGTCAGGGCCTCGATCCCAGCTGTGCTTGTGTGTGTGAGGTATGAGACCACTTGAAATCTAAGCCAGCGCTGGTGTTAGGTAAATTGAGCCAGACACACGCACGCACGCACACACACAGAAAGGGTTTAGCTCACTCTACTATCCAGTGCCAAGTGATTCCAGCAAACCCTATGAAGATACAGCCTGATGGGTGACTCAGTTCATTTTTATATTCAGGTGTATTGTCTTATTTGGTCCAAATTTAACATCAGATTAATCAAATTCTGTTTCAATTTACGTGACACCAGCTTTAAAAGCTAACGCTGCCTATTAACGAAAACAAAACCTGGCCTAAATTATTTTTTAAGCCAAAACAGAAGGATTGATATTATTTCAGTCCATACCGCTACCAAGTATGCTAATGTATCAATTTAAAACAATGATATGGTATTTAGGAAGCCATTGCTAGCATAATGATTAGCATATTTAGCATTTTCCTAAATGCTTTTTAACCCACAACAAAATAATTGATATTTGGTATTATGTGGTCGTTAGCATGACATTAACGCTAACTAGGAACACCACATTTTATCTATGGCTTTCTAGCAAGAGTTTAAACAGAGCGCATCCATCTTTAGTTCATGGAAACATTGGCTTATGTAGAATACTTACAAATTTTTCCTGATATGGTTTTTGTCACGTTTATTCTCAAGGCACGTATCAGACAAAGAAGATAACTTGTTGGTGCCTCTTTTTGGAGGGGTTTAAGTTAGCCACGGGAAAATGTAGTAATTTGAATCAACATATAGGAATCATGTCTCTTCAATAACCTGAATCACGTAAATAGTCGAAGTCAGAGTCCATGTTGAAGGTATTTTTCTTCCTTTCTTTGCATGAACACATGAACTAGCCAAAAGTTGGCACTCAAAGGAAATTTTCACCCTTGATTGTGAACAGGAGTGGGGTACATCTCACTTATGCATTTCAGTTTGAGGACTATTTGTTGTTCCAGGACAAATCAAAGTCTCTGGCCAGTTGCATATTGTTGACAGCCAAAGAGTCCAGGCTGTGGATCCAGGAGGCGTCTGCGTGACGTCGACATGTGCCAGACGAAGTAAAGCATGTGTGAAATCTCAAGAGCATTTAAAACAAACAGAGGGACTGACTGCGACGGGGGCAGAAGGCTGGGAAATGTACACTGCAATGTACAGACACACAGGGAGGAGACTGGACATGACAACAGAGTGGAAGGGGAAGACATTGGACTGGTACTGATGGTGTCTTTATCAACATAGTTTCATCTCTTCAAATCACACAAAAGCTAAAGTTACTGTGACTTAAATGGTTGTTTTTTTTCCTTCATATTGCGTTTGATTAAACTGTACAGAATAAAGAGAGTTGTGTAGGTTTGTCTTCCAGCAGGATGACACCAAAACAGCCAGGATAAGTGACCAAGTCTTATGAAGCATTTATGGCAAAACCAGAAAATTTATGTTCCCAGATACTCTCTGTCCAATCTGGTCACGCTTGAGCTATTTTGCAATGAGGAATGGCCAAAATGCCAATCCCTGGCTCACAGAATATAAGTAAATCCTCAAAATCCACACAAACACTTTAGGGGTTTGTAGTAGTAACAAGACAAACATGGGGCTGTGTCTGCCATACAAGCTTAAAGCAGTCCAACTATGTGTAACATTTAATGTTCCCACTTACATAGAAACACTCTCTAGCATGTCTCCAGTGTCCTCAATGCACCCGTTGTCTTGTTTCAGCGCTGGCATGAGTGGAACTGGGTGACACTGTCGTACGGGTCAGCTCTCTGGGAGTACTGGGTCTTGAAGTAATTAGACGCAGCCACAAAGAGGCGTGTTCCCTCCGACCCTGTGCCACTTGTGGCCTGCCAATGTGGGAACAAAGGCCTGGTCTGACTCCATGGTCAAGATAGGATCCACTTCAGAGCAGAAAATTAGAGCCTATTTGAGAGCTGCTCCAGATTTTTGTATAAAAGAACTTACTTTACACTACTTAAGCTTATTTCATACCTTTGACATTCTGAAATGTTGTTTC